CGCAATTGCGAGTTCGACTACAGCGTGCAGTGACGATCACATACAAATATCTACGACGTCAGGGGCTCACTCTTTCAATCGACAAATGCGCAGTGCTTCTGTTCACGCGCAAGCATATGTCGCAATACCCGATATTTATTAATGGGACAGCGATACCTGCTCTAACGCACCACAAGTTCCTTGGGGTTGTCGTACACAGAGATCTATCGTGGACGAGGCATGTCGCAGTACTTAAATGTAAATTGAAGAGCTTTGCTCTCATTCTTCGTCACGTAGCAGGAGCAAGATGGGGCCCATCAGAATTATCGCTACTTCAATTGTACAATGCTCTATTTGTAGGATACATTCGATACAGCATGCCGGTGCTTACTAATATGAGACCTAGTTGTGTGAAGACACTAGAGAGTGTTCAAACTTACGAAGATGCTTGGGTCTACCGCGCTGTACTTCAACAAATGGGACAATCGCAGAGGCTCGGGCTTGTCCCATCAGTGTATACATGCTCTGCGAGCCACTTAGAGTTCACCTCCGATTACTGAGCAGACACAGACAGCACCCACTGTCAGCACTACCCGCCACTCACCCATATTGCAGTTTCTCAAGAGTAATATCGCGGCATGAAAATATTATACCATCAAGGTTTTCTCCGCCAAATGCCCCTGCAGTGCCTCCATGTGTCCTGCCTAAACCACCTATCTCTTTTACGATACCTGGAATTACGAAGAAGTCGCTCATTTCTTCTGTTGGCCTCAGACAACTGACCCTATATCACATTTATACAACGTACAGTGATTCTCTGCACGTGTACACCGACGGATCCACCACGCTAAACACCTCCGCCGCAGCCTTTGTCATCCCAGACATGGATATCGCTCGACGATTCAAAGTGGACCATAAAACCACATCAACTGCCGCAGAGCTTGTCGCTATCCGAGAGGCAATAAGGTTTATTTCCGGAGAGCGACCTCGAGCCTGGACGATTTTCTGTGATGCCAAATCCGCTTTGCAAATCATTAATTGCATCATGAAGCAAGGTCCGTATTACAGCTTGGCAATAGAAATCACAGAACTTATTCAGGTTGCTTCAACAAATGGCCATCTTATAACTTTCCAGTGGATTCCCGCTCATTGCGGCGTGATGGGAAACGAAGAGGCAGACGCTGAAGCTAAAAATGCCTTAAGCAATGCCCCTGAAGTACGTATTGCGTTTTCACGAGCTGACACGAACGCCCTGCTTCGCTGCGTGATGCGCAACTACACGCTTCAGCACTGGACCAAACCGGAACGGCGATACCAGCGACTTCACAAATGGGACCCGGAAATGAGGTTCTGCATGCCTCCCAAATTGAAATGGCAACTCACAAGTATGATCCACCGCATTCGTCTTGGTGTAGCGTACACCAGACGTTACGCACATATCATCGGTCGCAGTGACACCGGTCCTAATTGTGAACACTGTGATGTGCCAGAAACACTTGAACACATATTTTGTGTTTGCCCAGCATACGCACGTGAACGACAAACACTGATTACTTCTACTGAACTATATCGCAGTAGGTCATTAACTGATGAGATCATGTTGGGCCCTTGGCCAGACACCAACAGTGCAACGGCGGTCACAAGAGCAGTTATTACCTTTTTAGAAACAACTGGACTATGTGCGCGGCTATAAAATGTGCCTCAGCTAGAAAGAACACTACATACTCACCTCTCTATCTCACCATCGTCATCCATTAATCTTTCTTTTCCCCTTTCCCTTCCCCCAGTGTAGAGTAGCAGGCTAGAGCAAGCTATCGCTCAGGCCAACCTCTGTGCCTTTCTGTAAATAAACTTACCTCCCTTACCTAATGCTCGCTATGATCAGCAAGACTCTCAGTACGACGGAACGGCAAGCGCTGGTGCAGGTCCTTTCCCGGCATGTTGCTGCTTTCGACTTCAAACATAGAGATGCACCCCTTCAGTTACCCTCGTCCCGCGCTCGTCACAGAATAGACACTGGCTCTGCACACCCCATCCGCCAAAAGCCCTACCGAGTGTCATCCTCTGAGCGCAAAGTTATCGCTGAACAAGTAAAGGACATGCTGAACAAAGGGGTCGTGCAAGAGTCGTCCAGCCCGTGGGCAGCCCCGGTAATTCTTGTCAGGAAAAAGGATGGTTCCTGGAGATTCTGCGTAGATTACAGGCGTCTAAACACTGTGACGAAGAAAGATGTATATCCCTTACCACGGATTGATGGCGTCATAGATTGCTTGCATGCCGCTTTCTATTTTTCAACGCTTGATTTGCGGTCAGGTTATTGGCAAATACCTATGGAACCCGGCGACAAAGAAAAGACTGCTTTCATAACTCCGGATGGCTTATTTGAATTTAATGTCATGCCTTTTGGCCTTTGTAATGCTCCAGCCACCTTTGAAAGATTTATGGACACAGTATTACGTGGACTAAAATGGGAGATATGCATGTGCTACCTTGACGATGTTGTGATCTTTGGCCGTACGTTTGAGGAACATAACAACCGTCTCAGTCTTGTTCTCAACTGCATCGAAAAAGCCGGGCTGGTTCTGAATTCTAAAAAATGTCGCTTTGGCGAACGTCAAACTCTCGTGCTGGGGCACTTGGTCGACAAGGATGACGTCAAACTCGATCCTCGCAAGATAGAAGCAGTGAGCTCTTTTAAATCACCGCAGTCCGCACGAGACCTTCGCTCATTTGTCGGCCTATGCTCATATTTTCGTCATTTTGTTCCACGATTTGTGGAGATCGTGTATCCGCTGACAAACGTCTTGCGACAGGATGCAACTTTCAACTGGACGCCAGAGTGTGACACCGCATTCTCACAACTTAAGTTTGTACTAACGTCAGCACCACTGTTGCGTCACTTCGATCCATCTTGCCCGACTGAGGTCCACACGGACGCTAGTGGTATCGGTGTAGGCGCGGTGATTGTACAACGTCACAATGGCGCAGAGCATGTCGTGGCATATGCCAGCCGTTGCCTGAGCAAATCAGAACGCAATTACACAGTTACGGAACAGGAATGTCTGGCAGCTGTTTTCGCTGTACAGAAGTTTCGTTGTTATCTTTACGGGAGGTCATTTAAGATAATTACCGATCACCATTAGTTATGCTGGCTGGTCGGTTTGCGTGACCCATCTGGCCGCCTCGCACGTTGGGCGCTGCGACTTCAGGAATACAACTTTACGGTGTCGTACAAGAGCGGCCGTCGTCACGCTGACGCAGACTGCCTCTCCCGGATTCCTCTTGCGACTACTGACTGCGATGCTGAGAATTTTAACGACTGCCTTGCTGCTGTTACAAGCACGTTCCCCAACGCGGCTGATTTCCAGAGAGAACAACGCAGCGATCTCAACTTGGATCCTATTTTTGCCGCCGCACGTGCCTCCCAACACAGCGGTCGCTTTACTGTCCGAAACAAGTTGCTCTATAAAGCTAACTACTCCAGACCTGGAGCACGTTTTCTTCTAGTTGTCCCCGAAAGCCTTCGCTCCGATGTTCTACGTGCCATGCATGGCGATGCGACGTCCGGTCACTTTGGCTTCATTAGAACGCTGAACCGCACGCAGGAACGCTTTTACTGGTCCAAGATGTACGAAACGACGAAGCGTTACGTCGCTAGCTGCGAGACGTGCCAACGTCACAAGCGCCCGGCCACCGCTACACCAGGTCCCCTTCAGCCGTTAACACCACCCAGCACATCTTTTGAACAAGTGGGAATTGACATTATGGGTCCATTTCCGTTATCTAACAATAAGAAGCGCTAGATAATCGTCTGCGTAGATTATCTTACGCGGTATGCTGAAACCGCAGCTATTCCCTCTTCTACCGCTGCATCCGTGGCGGACTTCTTGCTTCACTCCGTGGTCCTTCGCCATGGCCCACCACGTGTTATTATCAGGGACCGCGGCCACCAGTTCACTGCCGATGCCGTTGAAGAATTACTACGCATGTGCACGACACAGTTCCGTCATTCCACACCGTATCACCCACAGACGAATGGCCTCGTTGAACGGACAAACAGAACGCTGACCAACATGCTTGCCATGTACGTTTCTTCCAATCATAAGAACTGGGACGAAGTGCTGCCTTTTATCACGTACGCGTACAACACGGCAAATCATGAAACAACGAACTTCAGCCCATTTTATCTGTTGTACGCAAGATTGCCACTAAGCCCTCTAGACACTTTCTTACCCTTCATTCTACACAATGACGACTCTGTATCAAACACCCTGTGCCTCGCGGAAGAAGCCCGTCGAATCGCTCGTCTTCGTACTTTGGCCTCTCAACGTCGTTCGAAGGAACGATACGACGATCGTCACGAACAGGTTTTATTCGAAAAAGGTGACTTGGTGTTACTTTGGACACCGCAACGCAAGCGTGGATTGTGTCAAAAGCTTCTGTCACGATATTCAGGCCCATTTGTAGTTTTGCAGCGTCTAAGCCAGCTCACTTACGTAATATCCCGTCTTTTGTCCAATGGTCGACGATCGAGCAGAACGCAGCTCACTCACGTTGCTCGCCTGAAACCTTTCTACCCTCCTTGTGCATCATAACTCGCCCTACGGGCTTCGTCTGCTTGCGGGGGAATGTAACAGACTAGAAAAAGGTAGAGAAGAGAAGCAGAGGAAGACGAAGACTCTTGGCACGATCGCAGTGTGCTACCGCAAACGACCATCGTTCACCTCCTGTAAATAAAAACCACCTTATCATATATATATATATATATATATATATATATATATATATATATATATATATATATATATATATATATATATATATATATATATATATATATATATATATATATATATATATATATATATATATATATATATATATATATCATGGACGCTGTCACTTCTTTTGTTGGCTCACTTTTGTGTTATCTCCACTACTGAAAATGACCTAAGCGGAGCCGTCGTCTACACGCAAATGAAAGGGCGTTATAGAATTATGCAGAATGATTGTGTTATTACCAGTGCCTGTCGCAGAGGCGCCTTCGTTCTTATGTGCGTGTATGTTTGGAGGGTGGTTGGGAGGGCCACGACCATGCATGGGCTTGTGAGATTTTCGTAGCCCGGGTATTGCTAGAGAGAGAAAGAGAGACAGATACAAGAAAGAGAGGGAGCAAAGTTGAATCAATTATCCCAAGATATACGTACGGCTGCTCATAACGTAAAAGACCCTTTTGTTTGACACATTTTCTGCGCGGGAGAGACAACCGACCCCCACCACGGTGCTCTGGCCATTATGGCGCTCGTCGACTGCGGACCAGAAAGTCGCAGTATGGAACCCTGGCTGTGGTGGTTTCACTTGCATGGGAAGCGAAAATGCTTGAGACCCGTGTACTTATTTTAGGTGCACGTTCGAAAACCCCAGGTGGTCGAAATTTTCAGAGCCCAGCTCTACGACGTCTGCAAGGATTGACTGTCTTGGCCAGAAGCTTCGGTGCGACTTGCACAGGAGGTAGCGGCCACCTGCCTCTTTAACACCATTTTTATCTCAAGTCTATTAATAATGATAATTAGTGGGCTTTAACGTCCGACAATGGTCATATGAATATGAGAGACACCGCAGTGGAGGGCTCCGAAAAAATTGGCCAGGTGGGTTGTTTAACGTGTACTTATATATCTATAGAAGCACACGGGTGTCAAGCATTTTCACCCTAGATCTACTAAACCACGAGGATGTGCATTAGGCTCATTACTCTTGGCAGTCGGTGTGGTTTTGGAGCGGCTAGCTGGATTTTTCTTAAAAGTCATTTCCCGTAATTAGGTACGTAGTGGTTGCGAAACCTTTGTAGAAGAAAAGTGGTTGTGACTGGTATAGTCACTTAGAAGAATCCCTCTCATTTAGGAGGTACGCTTTCCTGCTTGGAAATGCTTGTAGTGGATGGGGCTGTAGTTCATCATCGCCCCCTTACCTGTGACGTCGTCACCACTAGCATCGGTTCCCTCCTCAGCGTCCTGTCGTGCAGCAATCCTGTAACAGGATTTCGGACACCTCATCAAATGTTGTGCTGTTCTAAAGTATTCTGGCGATACACTGCAAGCGTCCATGCTCATCAATGTTGCCATTGTTTATCGACTTTAACTCTGCATCCATTTGACGCGTACATTGCAGCAGGCAACCTCAAAACAGTTTACGCGTGCACGAGGAGTTCGCAGGTGGTAGCTACGCACAGTACGAAATTACCGAAAGCACGTTTCATCTGGACTGGAACGGAACTGTCAACGCATCATTGTAAGCTCGGCCCATTTTTCGTGTCACAGTTGCAGAAAATTGAGGATTGCCTATGGCCTGCTTAATAAAATTATGGCCAAGAAACGGGCTTCTCGGAGAGCCTTCTGAATATAAAAGCTAAGAAAGGCCATAATAAAAAAAAAGACGCGAGAAACAGAATGAATGTTCATGTTAAAAAAATTACACACTATTACATTCGCAACATATGTGCCATAGGATTTTTTAATCTTTTATTTTAGATTCAATGAGTCGTCTTTTATATTGAGTGCCATGCCTAAATCTATAAGAAAATATTTCGAGTGCAGAACATGTAAACAGGTATTACCAACACGTTCTTGCTTTGTAGGCACATTTCAGCATATTTTCATCGTTGTTGTGTTTTCGATGGTTGCAGTCTCTATAGGCGATAGTTATCTTGGAAGACCTTTTTTTCAATTTAGAGGGCGATTGTAATATAATCTTTACAATAATCGTGCAGCCCGTCACACACGCGTAGCATCAAACTGTCTCAAGCCAAAACGTGAACGATGGCGCCTCATTAGAGAAACTTCATGTTTATAATTTGCCTGATAAATATTACAATTTACTTTGCATATAAAACACTCTGCACATCGCTTGACCCTCTCAAGAAAATTCAATGACAATTCTTGGACAAATACACCTATTCCCAAGGTCTTTTTCTCCCTGATTGTTCAGGCAGCCACATTCCTATAGATGAAACGCCCGCTGTTTTCTTTCTTTCTTTGGCCTTGTCACTGCCGAAAAATACCAGTTCTAGTTTTCGCGCGAAAGTGCTGTATACTTCATTTATATGGGCACACGTGCGCACATTTGTGTGAGTTCGATACTCTTTCTACTGAGTTATGTGCGGTACTCCTGGCGTTGCCAATTGCCTTGTCAGGCAACGCTTGTCTGGCCTTCACCTCAATTGACATGACAGTCGCGATTTGTGCCGATTGTCAGAATCCGCTGCAAATTTCGATTCCAAACAAATTTCACTTCAGGTGGCAATTTAATTTTTATGACAGCCTACGAGCCTCGCCTCGCAGTCTCACATGGACGACGATAAAAGGTAATAGAAAAACGTTGTACTTCAGATTGCTTCAGGCTGCCGAGAGCAATGCCAATATAATAAAATAACAGCTAAATGGCTTTACCCATGACTTTGTTGTCGTCACACTCGGGATAAGTTTTATTGGTATCACACAGTCTAGTTCTCCTGGTGAGCTTATGAATGGCAAATAAAATAGACGTACTTTTTTTAGCGCAATTTCGAGTTGGCCTTTTCGAAGTTTGGTGCAAGAACACTGTTTCTTCTGAATACACAGCACGCTCCCTAGCTTGTTCCGAAAGTTATCAGATTGTTGTGCGTACCTCACCGGCCTACATACCACAGGAAACGTTATCATCACATTTTTTTCTCATTCAATGTAGGTATTATGTTTTGGTGATCATTATTTAGTGTATATATAAGGCATTGCATCTTATACCGGTTTTGATGGTACTGGATGTATCCATAGTTTGATTTGGTGTGGTTATCAGGGGGCCTGTTTTGCTGTTCTGGCTTACATGTTTCAAGACGCGCTTCCCGATGCTAATGTTTGAGACGGTGCTTTATTCATACTCTAATCGGTCTCACCAAGCTGCTTGCAAAATGTTGAGTTCCCTTACTTCCCCGTTTTTCGTCCCAGCAGAAAAAAGAAAGAAAGTATTAAGTGACTCTGCCGCTTGTTAAGGAAAGAGGGGCTGTAAATGCCCTTGTGTTTTAAGTAATGAAAGAACACATTACGGCAAGAATTTTGGAAATATAATGTCCGTTCAACCACATATATAGAGCTGACGAATTTCCCCGGCTTCATGATTGGTTGATTTGTGGAGTTTAACTTCCCAAACCACGATATAATTGTGAGAGACACCGTAGTGAAGGGCTCCGGGAATTTTGACCACCTGGGCTTCTTTAACTCGGACTTCTCATGTATACAGTATGAAAGGAAAAAGAAGTTACAAAGTGTCTGCTGTTTAGGAGAGCATACAGGAATATTGGTTCGGGAGGTCACTGAACATCTAAGAGAGCACTTTCATACTGCGTTGGCAGGCCAAAGATTCTTAATTTTTGTTGATTATGAGAAGCCATCACTCATTATTCACCAACCATCAAATACTTTGATAGTAGTGACGGAATCTCTCAACCCTTAGCTTATTCATTCCTGTATAGTACCGAAAACTTCGCTGTATTCACATAACTGACAAACCAAACAATTTATTCATAATTTCTTACTGGCCCATGAAATGACGTTGACTACGAGCTAACAATTAATAAAGAACATAAATAATAGAACACCTAAAACGAGGCACGCAAACGTGCAGACTACCCTTGTGCTACCATAACTAGAGTACGCGTGCGTTATATGGGACCCTTACACTAAGCGCAATATTCGCACTCTTGAACGCATTCAAAGAAAGGCTATACAATTTATACTTAACAAGTTTTCCGCTTTAGACGCCCCTTCAAATTTAACGCGAGCAAGTGACATTACCTTATTACAAGCACGAAGGCAAAAAGATCATTAAGAATTTCTTTTTAAAGTTTGGAACAAAAAAAAAACAGCTCTAGATTCACCCCTTATTTGCCACACCTAGCTTGCAAGCCCTCCCGACACCACCACGCCAACATTTTGACCCCATATTTTGCTCGGACTGACCTATGTAAGTATTATTATTTTCCAAGAGCAATTAGTGAATGGAGTTGCCTTACTAATACATGTGATCCGACTGCAGATTTATATTCTTTCAACTGAATTGCTTTTGTGTGATTGCTCCTTCTTTTGTATTTCTATTAAGCACCTTGCATGAACCACGAGTACACAGTATTAAAATAAATAGATAAAAAATAAATAAGAACTATCATGAGGTAAAACTTAAAAAAAAACAGAGAAACGTCATTGTACAATGAGTCGCGATGTGTGTACGGCCTGCTCACTGTATCGCAGCTTTGCATGACTTTATCCTGTGAAATCCACGAGGTAATTTGTTGGAAAAACAGGTGACATCCGATATTGTTAGAACACTGACTTTGTTAAAAAGGCCTCGGTGCTTTTCACCTATTATTGTCATTGTTTTTGATGCAACCACCACACTTAGGTCAACCGGTACTGGTTTGGGTGTGGCCCTGCATGACACCCCCCGACCCAGCTGGGTCCAACTATTTTGGACTTTCTCAACGCGTGGCTCACCTTAAGAAACTTTCGAAAACTCTTGCGTCTCTAAGTGGAATGGTTTGTAAGTGAAGAAAGAAGCACTTACTGTTTGGCATCTCCAAGTAGAGCGAGGTGCCAAGCACACACAAGCAGGACTGCGACCGCTGCGAGCTTCATGTTTGTCGAAGTAATCGGAGTGCAAGCATGCAGTGCCCGAGGAGTCCGCTTGCAGACGCTCCGGATGACGACAGACTCGAGCGACAGCTGACTCGGCTTTTTAACAATGGGTCAGTCGAATCACGGGCGAAGGGAACGGTCATTATTATTGGATGACGGCTATACCCACGAAGCGCGTAATTGGATGTGTATACAATTTCGTTCCTCTCGCGCAGAGTGAATGACTCCTGATTCGTTCACTGTCAGCCCGCCGTTATAAATCACAACGGAACGTGGCTATCTTCCACCTGTTTAACGAAACAGGCCACTCCAGCCAGGAATACTGATCCGCCGCACGTTCTCTCTCTCTCTTTTTCTCTCTCTCTCTCGATTTTTTTTGTTCTTTATTTTTATTTCCCTTCACACCGTACTCACAAATTTCACATTACCACGAAACAAAACACTGCCGCTATCACGCAGTGATATCCGATACTCCACATATGCTACGGCCGGGACAAAATAGGTTTTAAATATTCATACAAAAATATTTTTTCAAGAAATATGTTATCGGAAATGCGTTGTGAATAATAAATGCGCTTTCGGTTTAACCGTTATATAGTTGTCGAGTTTTTTTTTTTTTTGCTCTTTTCAACACTACAGTGACCAGCGTAAAAGCAATGCCTGTAGATACTTTTGAAGTATATGTAGTATAGTATAGGCAATATGTCGGTGTACTGATCTGCCTCCTTATAAAAAGAATTAACGCAGCTTGCACAAAGTCTCTCCATGCTGAATTACAGCAGAGCTGGTGGGCACCTAGCTGGTCATGGTTTGGCTATAAGCCTTTCCCCTCTCACCTGTCTCTTTCCCACCTATTCATATTGCCACATGGTTTGCTTGGGTGAGATCGAAGTGTGAAAGAAGACAAAGACGATCTCCCTGAGCTGCTGCTTGAGTAGTCGACTAAACGAGCCCATTTTTTATCAAGTTTGTCGAGAGTAACGTGACAAGACTGGTGGAGTTGCTGGGTACAACGTCTCACAATCCACCCGATGCCCAAGACCCCGTCCAGCAGCCGGAACACAAGCCCTGCACCCGTGGACACTCCTGTTCATAGAGTAAGCCGCCGCCAACGAGGCCTACCGCCCGAGACACCAACCACTGACGCAGCGACTATGACTTCAACACAAGATCCCATGCAAGCTCCGACACCTTCCACGCCGATCTACTGCACCGTCCAGAACCCGCTCATGCCTAGCCCCTTTCACGGAGCGCAGCATGAAGATGTTGACGACTGGCTGAGTGAGTTCGAACGTGTCGCAGCGATCAATTACTGGGATGATGCCGCGAAGCTCCGGAACGTGTACACGTGCCTAAAAGACGGTGCCAAGACGTGGTTTTTGAACAGGGATGATGTTCTGACATCTTGGCGCGAGTTCCAGCGTCGCCTCCTGGAGACCTACAGGAGTCCCGACCGCCGCGAACGGGCGGAGCGTGCACTTCAATCACGCATCCAGATGCCCAACGAGACCGTCTCGATGTACGTCGAGGACATGACACGGCTTTTTAAGCGAGCGGATCCTGCTATGGCAGAAGAAAAAAAGTTGCGCCACCTCATGCGTGGTGTGAAGGAACAACTTTTTGCTGGTTTGGTGCGTAGTCCCCCCAAAAGTGTTGCTGAGTTCCTTACTGAAGCGGCAACAATGGAGCGAGTACTGCACCAACGGTCTGCCCAGTTTGACCGTCAAGTGAATGCTGCCTCAACTCCCGAGATTTTCGCCACCCCTGGGAGCAAGAGCCCCGAATGGATTCGCGAGATCATTCGATCTGTCGTCCGGGAAGAAATGGAAAAGATGTACGGGACAAGGCAAATCGATGTTGGTTCTATCACCAGTGTCATCCGCGACGAGGTCCAGCAGGTGCTGCACGCCCATCGTTTTCCGCCCACGTCGGTTGATTTGGAAACGGCTCCTGTGTCTACTGACAGTCGCCGTCGTACGTACGCGGAAGCCTTGCGATCTGCCACTCCTCTTTCGGGTCAAGGAGTCCCGATCCAGCCAGTGCCGCACGTCCCGATCCAGACAGTGCCGCACGTCCCGATCCAGACAATGCCATACGTCCCGATCCAGACAATGATGCCGTCAGTCGCGATTCAGTCAGCGCACGCTGATTTGGACATCGATAGTCGCCGTACACCGACGCGCAAGTCTGATCTCTGGCGTACGCCAGACAGACGACCCCTCTGCTATCATTGCGGTGAGGCTGGTCACATTTACCGCGAATGCCCATACCGGCAACTTGGACTGCGCGGATTTTCCGTCAATTCCCCTCGTCCCCGAATTGGTCAAAGGCCAAGGGATATCGAAGAATATCTCGCGCAACAGCGTGCACCCTTTACACGACGGCAATCGCGGTCACCATCTCCGAGGAGACCCGCAGCCACTGGGCCACGTTTTGGGGTGACGGCACGGGAACGCTCCCCGAGCCCTCGTCGGGAAAACTGAAGGCAGCGGCCTTCGGGGGCAAGGTCGCTGGGACTCAAAGTGCGGAAGACCTCCCATCGATGCTTGCACGCAGCGCCGAAGGCATTTCGTCAGAGAATAATCGCAGTGCCGAAGAAACGCCGACATCCGCATCTGAACTTAGTGACCGCGTGTCGCTCGACATACCTGTGCTGGTTGACGGTCTTCAGGTCAGTGCATTGGTAGACACTGGTGCAGACTATTCGATGATCAGCGGGAGGCTAGCGAAAGATCTCAGGAAAGTGATCACGCCGTGGAATGGAACGCGAATTCGAACAGCTGGAGGACACGTTGTAACACCGCTGGGTCGCTGTACCGCAAGAGTGAAAATTCGTGCGTCAACGTTTGTGCTCAGCTGCCTCGTTCTTCCCGACTGTTCGCGTCAGCTGATTATCGGCATGGACTTCCTTCGGGAATACGGTGCCATCATAAATCTCCGTGAGCGCATCGTGACCTTCTCGACTCAAGGCGCAACAGATCGAGACGCCGATAACTGCCGTAGACTTGCGCTGCGTGTTGCTGACGACAGTGTGACGCTGCCACCTCGAGCAACTGTTCCCATCGAAGTCACTTGTGAAGACTTCCAAGACGGCGACGTGGTGGCTGAAAGCAACTTATCACTTCTGCTGCTCCAAGGTGTATGCGCCGCCCGAAGTGTTGTGCGCGTCCGTGACGGACAGTCAACGATACTAGCTACGAACTTCAATTACGAGCACCGGCATCTTTTCCGTGGAACCACCCTAGCTTATGGAGAACCTGTTGCCGACGTCACGGAGTGCTTCGCGTCCGAGGAAACGCATGAGGATAAGGAATTTCTAGACCACATCGACATTAATTCCACGCTGTCAGACGAAAGAAAGGCTGCACTTCACGACCTTTTAAGTGAGTTTAGATCTTGCTTCGCCTCTTCTTCTAAAGTCCGTCAAACGCACCTCACGAAGCATCGAATTATTACCGACGATGACGTCCGCCCCATCCGGCAGCAGCCTTATCGCGTTTCTGCCAAAGAACGCGAGGCTATCCAGACACAAGTAAAAGAGATGCTCGCTGACGGGATTATTCAACCATCCAGCAGCGCTTGGTCCTCGCCAGTCGTTCTAGTAAAAAAAAAAGACGGAACGCTGCGATTCTGTATTGACTACAGGAAGCTTAATAGCGTCACAAAAAAGGACGTCTACCCGCTTCCACGAGTAGACGACTCCCTCGACAGGTTACGACGTGCGAAGTATTTTTCGTCCATCGATCTAAAGAGTGGCTATTGGCAAATTGAAGTGGATGAACGAGACCGAGAAAAAACCGCGTTTGTGACTCCAGACGGACTTTACGAATTCCGAGTTCTTCCCTTCGGCCTCTGTTCTGCACCAGCCACTTTTCAGAGGATGATGGACACAGTTCTCGCTGGCTTGAAGTGGCAAAGCTGCCTTGTCTACCTCGATGATGTGGTCATCTTTTCCGAGAGCTTTGAAGAACATCTGAAGCGTCTGAGAAAGGTTCTGGAAGCCATTCGCACAGCTGAACTTACGCTGAAACCCCAAAAATGCCATTTCGGCTATGAAGAGCTGAAATTTCTGGGACATGTCATTAGTGCAGATGGAGTGCGACCTGATCCAGACAAAACTGCTGCTGTCGCCGCCTTCCCTGTCCCATCAGATAAAAGAGCAGTACGCCGTTTCCTCGGCTTGTGCGCGTATTATCGCCGATTTATCGCCAACTTCTCTAAGATAGCTGAACCTCTTACGCGACTCACCCGAGATGACGTACCCTTTACTTGGGGCGCAGAACAAGATACAGCGTTCACAGAGTTACGACAGAGAATGCAAACAGCCCCTGTTCTTGCCCATTTTGATGAGGATGCTGCTACAGAAATTCATACAGATGCCAGCAACGTCGGACTTGGCGCTGTCCTTGTACAACGGCACGGCGGCGTTGAGCATGTGATAGCTTACGCCAGTCGTACTCTTTCTCGAGCTGAGACCAACTATTCTACGTCAGAAAAAGAATGCCTCGCAGTCGTGTGGGCGACGACCAAATTTCGGCCTTACCTCTATGGTCGTCCCTTCAAAGTGGTGACTGACCACCACTCGCTCTGCTGGCTGGCAAATCTCAGAGATCCATCCGGCCGTCTCGCACGGTGGAGTTTGCGTTTGCAGGAGTTTGACATTACGATTGTGTACAGGTCAGGGCGCAAACACGAAGACGCCGACGCGCTTTCTCGAGCACCTGTGGGGAACGCTGTCAGGGGCTCCGAAGATGAAGATGCCTTTCTCGGAGCAGTTAGCGACTCTGAATTTATGTCAAAGCAGCGGGCAGACGATGAACTACGCCCAGTCATTGATTCCCTGGAAGGCCGCAACTCTCAGGTCCCTCAACACATTGCTCGCGAACTGTCCTCTTTTTGTCTAAGAAGAGGCATTCTTTACAAGAAAAACGCCCGTGGTAGCGACAAGGCCTTCCTACTCGTTGTTCCTACCGACATGCGTGATGAAATCCTCCTGGCGTGCCACGACGAGCCCACGTCAGGACATTTGGGCTATTCGCGAACTCTCGCCCGAGTACGCCAACAGTATTACTGGCCGCGACTATCAACTAGTGTACA